TGTAATCTCAGTGTATTGATTTATTACCTTGCCTGAATCTAAAAGAGATTAAGAGAGCTCCAAGAATGTCCTTTTCTAGCAGGAAAGGAGCCACTCAGAATGATCCTGAGTGTCAGTAACCAAAAAGGTCCAAGAGGAGTAAGCAACGGCCAGCACTCAAGCAGAATGCCCCTTGTGCCTCAGGCTACTGGGGCGATTTTACCAGCTTTTGGAAACGATTTTTCTGACGTTTGGTGTCCTAGCTTAAAATGGCAGGTATGGATGGAGTAATACCTACAAATTAAGTTTTGTGTTGGTTTTTTCTCCTGAGAATGCATTTCAAATTTTTTTTAATGTTTTACTTATTTCTGAGAGAGAGAGAGAGAGAGAGCGCGAGAGCGAGCGAGCAGGGGAGGGTCAGAGAGAGAGGGAGACACAGAATCTGAAACAGGCTCCAGGCTCTGAGCTGTCAGCACAGAGCCCAACGCGGGGCTCGAACCCATGAACCATGAGATCATGACCCGAGCCGAAGTCGGAGGCTTAACTGACTGAGCCACCCAGGCGCCCCGAGAACGCATTTCAAAAAGGAGAGTTTGGGACTTTTGCTCATGTGAAGTATTTCTTCCCATAGACAAGTTCAGACCGAATGGGGTAGATGTGAGCTGATTCCTGCTGGGTCCCAAATCTAATATCCTAATGAACTTCAGAAGAAGTAGGCAGGTGAAGGGCTCTGATAGAGAACAGTGGGGCTTTGGGCCAGCAGACCTGGAAAAGAGCAGAGATGAAGCCTTCTGATGCCCTCTGTAAGGATAGAGGCCCCAGAACGAACTCAGCAAACAGTGGTAAAGCAAGCCTGATCCAAGGCAGGCATTCTCAATATTAATCTGGGGATCCTGAGCCCTTGTGGCTTGGGCACCTGTTGACGATCTTAAGCAAGTCACTTAAAGCCTCTGGGCCCATTGCATCCTTGTAAAAATAGGAATTTGGACCGGACTACATGCTTCCTCTGTACTATTCTCAAGCTACTCTGGAGGAAGGGTATTAATAACAGTGCTGTAGGGGAGCGAAGACTTCCAGAATGCATGCTGTGTACCAGACTGTATTAAGTGCTATCTCCACACTCACAAGGAGCCTACAGAGGAGTACTATTGTGATTCCATTCTGCAGGGGAGCACCCAGGCTGAGAAAGGTTAAGTGACCATGGAGAGCTGATTCCAACCCAGGCAGCTTGACTCAAGGGCCCACACCCTGAAGCACTGCTGCCCAGGGGTAATGACTGCTCCACGTCTGGACTGAGGACGGGCACCAAACAGTAACAGCCCTCACGAATGCCCAGACGCTGCCTCCTGAGAGCCCCTAGGCAATGAGTTTGGGTGGATACTGCCTAATGGATGTTTCTGTCTCTGACTCCATGGTGCCATTTTCTTTCCACTCCAATGACAAGTTGATTTCAGATCCTCTCTAGGATTCCTTCAGGAATTGACAACTCCAAACATGAGGCCACCAGATGATGTCCCTCCTCCTCAGGGACGCTTGTTTTAAGCACAGCCCTCGCTTTCCCATCCTGAGTCCAGAAGAGGAACCCTAGTATCATCCTGAAGGATGAAGCTCACCCTCTTGCTGCCAAATGGCCTACCCCTGCTGTGGCCCCCTAAACAACTTTTGTCACAAATAAATGACTCTTACCAAATGGGGTTCAGTCTGGGCACTGCCCTGCTACATTTTAGACGCAGAAACGAGATCTTTACACTTCTCCATGAACCTAGTAATCTTATCAAAACAGGGTATGTGTTCATGTGACATAAATTGTTCTCATGGAACAGCACCCCATGCTGGCCCCTGAATTCTTCACTAAGTTCTCACCGCCATCTGCTGAATGACTCAAACTTGAAATTTGCCAGGAGTCAACAGCAAACTTATTGACTTGTGCCACAATGTCTCCTGCTATTGATCAGGACACTACCTGACAACCATTTCATGTTATCTCTGCACTCATGTGACAGAGATAGTGTAAGACCAGCTACAGCACAGTAAACCTGCTCCAGTGACCCAAAAGTGTACCTTCAAACAGAAGAAAAAAAAAAAAAAAAGAACAGCTAAGGTCTAACATCTAACTTGTCATCTGGATATTATCCGGGAATATACCTATATGTAACTATTCATAGTTGGTATCCTTTTTCTGAGCAATACTAATCAAAATCATTTAGACACACGTAAACATATATATATATGTGTGTATATATGCATATACATAACTACTTATACATACCACATATACCCCCACACCCTATATGCACATATACACTATACAGATGTCCATATGTATATATACTACGAACATACACACATCTATGTATACAGTTACACACACACCATGTGCGTATATGTGGCATGTACATAGATGTATATAACATACGTCCTGTAATAGTACCATCAACAGTTATAACTGAAGGGATATGGGAGGGAAAGGAGGGGGGAAGAGGACCAGAATGGGAGTATAGGTCTCAAGGGCATCTCCTTTAGACCATCCCTCAATACTGGACCTTTAAACAGCCATAAAGAATTACCAAGCGCCCACTGGAAGCTAGGCACCTGTTCTATTTTATGTACATTATTTTCTTGAGTCTTCAATTTACTCAATAGTGGTTATTATTGAGAAAAGATCTCGCTCTCAAATCTGCAAGATTTCACAAAATGCTCAATGAGTGTGCCTGTTCTTCTGCATGAAGCACTCAAGCTCATCTGGGGCATCCCCAAATTAACTTGTTACTTCTACATTCATTTAGTAGTTACGCATTTTTTAATAAAGAAAAACGGGCCAGGTTTGCCACAGAGGAGATGAGTTGTAAAGTCCCGGCCAATTATTCCAGCAGTATCCAAACACCTGGCTGCCACAAATGATTACTTTAATGTATTTCTAATGAGGACTGGATTCAGACCAAGATGAAGATGCTTAACCCAATAAGGAAAATTCCCTCAAGTTTTCTTAAAGGATCACAAATTTTTAATATGAATGTGAAGGAGAGGCCATAATAACGCCTTTTTTTTCTTTCTCCCTGACTAGAAATGCTGGCTGCCAGTCAGACCTAGAAAATTTAGCATTTTTAGAATAGTGAACTCTGTCCTTTTAAAACATGTCACCTAGAGGAAGATGCCCTGTTACAAGCTGCTGTTGCTGGAGGGTTAGGTGAAGCCGAAGCAGCCCCAGGGCTTGTGGTGGTTGGAGGAGATCCCCACCGATTCTCAGACCACGGGGCTGCTGTTCATGGTCATGAGTAGAGGAGGAAAAGCAGAGGACTCGAAGGCGAGGGGCACACCTCTCATCTGATTTCTCTGTAAAATGTATACTGTGCTGTGTACAGCAACCTGGACTAAGAACCCACAAGGAGTCTAACGAGTAAAGTACTCATTGCGTTAACAATTTCTCAGAGCATAAAACCATTGATTTTCAGAGCTGAGTGATATACAGCCCTAGGTCCTCATTTATATTTCTTAATAATTTATCGAGCACCTACTAAGTGCCAGGCCCTGTGCCAAACGCACATTTTCTTATCAGAACGCATGTAGCTTTCCAATATTACCACTATTTTGATTGAGGAAATCAAGTCGCAGAACATCCAGTAAACCGCCTAAGGCTCACAGTTAGGAAGCAGGGGCAGAGTACGAACCCACAGCTCCACGCTCATTACCATCATGGAGCAGCTCTGCCCCATTTCAGAGAGGAACTAGAAGGCTAGCTGTGGACAAGTTCCAGGGGATTCGGGTCAGTAACTCTTCCTGGTGCCACACGTCCTAGGGGCCACTTGCATGACTGCTGAATCTGCCCGGTTAGCAGAAATGGAAGGAAAAAGCAAAGGAAGCAGCCAGCCAGCAGCTCCTTCCTATCTGACCACAGCTGGGAGCTCCCAGCTGAGCAGCAGAGAAGCAAGTCCACCCGGAGGGAACAGGGGGCACTAGCAGGCCCCTCCACGACCTCCGCTCGGGTTCTGACTCCAGTCGGCCAGCCCACACTGCCCTAGGACCCTCCTCACCCACTTCTGGTGCCTTAATGTGTCCCTAGCATCACAATGGCAGCTGCCTTCCCTCACTCCGGTCGGACAGGCGCCTACCCACAAGCACCTCATCCCCGATTAAATCCTGCTCAGACCCCAGCACCCCACACAGTCCATTAGCAATAAGAAGCACTGTAGGAACCCCATTTCCAGCAGCCAGAGAGAATCCCGAGGGCGAACAGCCTGGAGGGCTTTCTCAGCGTCACCCAACAGGCCCGGGACATAAGGAATGACAGGTGCAGACAACCGAAGACCACAGCTTCTGCCTTTAAAGTCATCCCCATATATAACACACAGGAGGCCAGCGAAGAACCCAAATTCCACCTGCACCTTTAGACAGCAATGGAAAGGAAAAAAATCCCACAGGGATGGCTGCTTCCAGCACTCGTGGTCTCTTCCCTCCTCTCCAACACACCCCTGCCCAGTCTCCCACTTCGGGGCAAAAATTCATGCCCGAACGTGACCCGGAATTTGAACTCTCAAATCCCAAGAGCTCCAGGAAACATCCATTAAAGCGACAAAACCCTTCCTTACACCGGGTGGCGGGGCTTGGGGCGCAGGGGTGGAGTCCTGGGCTCCTCCCCTCAGAAAACCGAAAGCCTACCCCAAATTCGGGACTGGGTCTCCTTCGATCTGTCCCTGCCCTAAACACACGCACACCCCACACCATCCACCCCCGCGGACCCCACGCTCGGGCACACCTGCCCCAGCCCACACGCACGTGCACAGTTGCTCACCCCAACAAGCCCCCGGCCCCCCACGTCTGCACACCTGCCCTCTCTCTCTCTCTCTCACACACACACACACACACACACACACAGACACACACACACCTGCCGGCTCGCGCCCCGCCCCCCCTCCAGGCACCACCTAGCCGCCCCCCGCACGGCCCCTGCCCTCCAGCCCACCCCCTCCGCGCGCTCCCAGCCGCACCCCGCGCCCGGCCAGGCCGCCGCCCTCCGCACTCACCAGCGCGGCGCCCGTCGGCCTCTGCTGTCCCGCGCCGACCCTGGGGCCTGGGGCCCCGAGCTGCCCGCCGCCCGCCGCCCGCTCCCGGCCCGCGGCTCCTGGGCTGGCCCGGCCCCGCCGCCGCCGCCGCTTCCCGTCACGTGGGGCAGCCGCCCGGCGCCGGCGGAGGGCGGGAGTACGGCTGTCCCCGCGCCGTCCAGCCCGGCCTGCGACCCCCACCGCCCGCCCGCCCGCGGGCCTGGCGCGACCCGGCCCCGCGCCGGAGGCCCACGGAGGGGCCGCCCCCCCTCCGTGGGCCTCAGTGTCCTCCCGCCTGCCGGGATCACAGCAGCGCCTGCCTCGGGGCGGTGCGCAGGGTCAGAGGAGTTAATTCGCGTAAAGCGCTTAGAACACTGCCTGGCACAGAGTAGGTGCTCCAGAAATGCTGGCCGGGGACTGCTGTCAATGTATTTTCTCCTCTCCCGCCCGCACGCAGAGATTCGGGAAAGCCCGGGCCTTGTTCGATTTGCTCACCGCTCAATTTCGGACACCGGCACTGCGCCGGGCAGAGTGTAGGCTCTCGGGAAAACCCGCTGAACGAATGAATGAACGAACCAATCAATCAAGGAGTCCTAGGAAAGGCCTGACCAAGCTGTATTCTGACAAAGTTTTGCTTGAGGAGTTGACTGGCTGGTGGTGTTCCCCGGGGGCTGAAATGTCCCGTTGGGCCAGTTGAGCTGCCCACCACCCCCGGGCCCACAGCTAATACAGCGTCCGTGGGGCCGAAAGGAATCCCTAGAGAGAGCAGTATATTTGCATGATGTATTTATTTTAATAGGTAGTCCTGGGTCTATTTTACCCAATCTTTTTAGCACAGTCCATCAGCTATTCCTTTGGGTCCAGCCACTATGACGAATCCTGGGGTACCACGAATCCATGAACCTTCTCTTTTCAATATATACAATTCAATTTTAAGATTAATTAGGAAGCTCCCTCCAGATTTGTCAGCGTTCAATTATTAGCATATAAAAGGCAAATTTTCTTAGTGATTTTCCCTGACTTTAGACCCCACCAGTGACCTGTGGCCTCAGCTTTCTTCTGGCTCCTGGGGATTATAAAACAAAGATGTTATCCTGAACCAGGAGGCAAATACTGGACTCTTCTTTTTCAAAGGGGAACAAATGACCTGGCGATCAAGTTAAATGAAGGCAATAAAGAACCATCAAGAAGCAATGTTCTGTGGCCTGTCCTTCCTTGCTTTCCCTTGTGAGTCCATGGCCACACACATACCCCAACCCCAAACAGGGCCTTAGTTCTGCTCAGTGGAACCAATGTCCAGATGGGGAATGGGTTCCCTAGAAGTGTAGACCTAGGACCAGCAAGTGCACTTCAAGGGCAAGAGGTAGGGAAGGGACGTAAATCTAAGGAGGCCACAGCCAGGGGAACCAGGGAACAGGAAGGCATCTGAGTAAATGCAGCCCAATCTCATTTTGCCCAGGCCCACGAAGAACATGTGAGTGGTCATCAGCTAAACACTTAACCAGGCGGGGCCTAGAATTTGTGCTTCTTCATTTTAGTGTAACATCATACAACTAGCTGCAGAGGTGACATCTCCTGACTGCCAGACACTGGCCTACCAGCAATGATCTCATTTAAGCCCTGCCATATCCTTATACAGTGGACGCTAGTAATTTCTCCAATTTATAGATGTTTCCTGAGGCAAAGAAAACTGGATGATTTGTCCCAAATTCCACGGTAGAAGAACAGAGCAGGAATAAGAATCCAAAATTCAACAACTAGCCAACGTTTTTCTATATAAAATCAAATTCTATTGATCAAGTAGTTTATGGAACACTGTGTTCTGCCTTAAACAATCTAGAAGTGAAACATGTATTAACAACAAAGAGGGGAAAGAGTTGATTCCGAAATAATTATTTCCTTTATGAAAAGCTTACCATAGGATTCTTAAAATGGCAAGCTCTACATGTGGACACTATTCCACCTAGAAACATCTGCTCTGGAACTTTCTGAGACTTCAGTTTCACATATGACCTAGATGTAAGTAGCTATTCCATAAAGGGCAATTATCTGCATCAGTCTCATTCCAAATTCCTCATGTTATTTTGATTGGTTATATTGAAGAAGAAATATCAAAGTCATATGTTTTCCAAAGGAATTATTAACCTCATTTATTAATACTTAGCAAATATCCCTAGGGCCGATACCAAGCATGTTAGGAGTATTTTTACAATAGACAAAAGATGAATTCTAACAGATTAATGATGATTAAGAGTTGAAGAGATACAACTGAATCCTTTCATAGTTCCCAGCTACTCCCTAAACTTAATATCCTCTAGTATACCTCCTCACACTTTCTCTGGGTTCCTTGCTTCCTCACTGGCTATAAACTCCTGGGGGCAACTAGTGTGGCTACCATGTTCTTGCTGGGTCTCTCTGCAAGAAAGTGGGAAGCACTCAAGCAATTTTGAAAATTCCTGATGCTCGGGGCACCTGGGTGGCTCAGGTCATGATCTCATGGTTCCTGGGTTCAAGCCCCGCCTTAGGCTCTGTGCTAATAGCTCAGAGTCTGGAGCCTGTTTCACATTTCGTGTCACCCTTTCTCTCTGCCCCTCCCCCGCTCATGCCCTGTCTCTCTCAAAAGTAAATAAACATTAAAAAAATTTTTAACTCCTAATGCTCAATATTAATAAACTAAGTTATCTTTAAAAGATAGGCTTTAAAAGAGGATCTTATTGCTAAGATACTGTTACTCTCATTAATAAGCGGATGTGTTGAGTTCACCTCTCCAATAAGTTTGGGTATCATTTTAGAAGATGAAGTTAAGAAAAGTTACATTGATGATTATATTTTAGCAGACATAGCTCACTACACTAAGTGTATCAGCACATTTAAGGATACATACACATATATTCATATACTTGTAATCTAGATTCAGTAAAAAACTTTTTGAACTATTATTCAAGTCAACTACTTCTTGAGAAACCCCTGTGTGCCAGGTGCTATGGTAGAAGCTGTGGGGGATACTGAAATGAAGAACACAGCCCCCACCCTCATGCAGCTTAATTTAGTGCAATGGTTTGTAAAGTATGGTCGATAATCAATGGTATCAACAGCATCTCCAAACCTGCAAATGCAAATTCTCGTGTCCCTACTCCAAAACTCCTAAATCAGAAACTGCAGGATGGGGCCCAGCAAACTGTTTTTCATAAACTCTCCAGGCGACTGATACTTTCTCAATTCAGAGAAACCCTGATTTAGTGGAACATGTGGAAGAAATACCCACCTAAACAGCCCCTAAAGCAAAGAATAATGTACTCTGAAGTCTGGTGACAGGAGAGCTCAGTCAAGAAGTGTCTGTGAATCAGAAAAGGTTTGTTCATCTTCATTCAGCACTGGCTATTGGCCTTATACTGTGTGCCAGGCACTGTGTTAGGCATGGAGAAGCCAAAAATGAAACACTGTTTCAAGGAGCTCATTAATGGTGACCTATGAGATGTGTAGTTTACGTATGCAAATGTATATTATTATCTGATTGTAAAAGGAATAAGAAATAACAATAAAACTATAGTCATTAATTATTATTCTGGTACCGAAGGTAGTTATTTGAAATTCAAAGCAGAACTGTGGTTTTAAATACCTAAAAACACAGGTCAAAATGTGAAGTATTCTTTAAAATTGTTACATTCACTTTGAAGCTCCTTAATTTTATCTATACTCAAATATATTTTTGACAACTAATACTAAAACATTTGGAACATCAGTATCTTATTTTTTTAAATGTTTTATTTTTGAGAGAGTGCAAGTGGGGGAGGGACAGAGAGAGAGGGACAGAGGATCTGAAGCGAGCTCTGCACAGACAGCAGAGAGCCTAATGTGGAGCTCAGACTCACAAACCAGGAGAACATGACCTGAGCCAAAGTCAGACGCTGAACCAACTGAGCCACCCAAGTGCCCCTGGAACATAAGAATCTTAAATATTACACTACCAATAAGAAGAATCAACACTCAAAGTTTTATCAGTACATATTTTGTTCGTGACTCATTCATTCAGCATTTACTGAGCACCTACTAAGTGCAGGCATCATGTGTACTACTGACCAGGTAAGAGGTTCAAAGGAAATGTATGGACTTGTCCTAAAAGAACTCGTAACCTAGTGAGGTGATGATGCCAGGCAGGGCAGTGTCTGTTGCTTTCCCTCTGTTTGTTCTTGTCAACTATGGGCACCAAATAAAAATGTTAAAGAATAAAACCCCACGCAGGGTGCCTGGGTGGCTCAGTCGGTTAAGTGTCCAACTTCAGCTCAGGTCACGAGCTCACGGTTCGTGGGTTCGAGCCCCGCATCAGGCTCTGTGCTGACAGCTCAGAGCCTGGAGCCTGCTTTGGATTCTGTATCTCCCTCTCTCTCTGACCCTCCCCTGTTCATGCTGTCTCTCTCTCTGTCTCATTAAACATTAAAAAAAATTTTTTTAAAAAGAATAAAACCCCACGATCTTTGAGTGAAGGGAAAATTCTTATAATACTGAACCTAAAAACTAACGGTTACTATTTAATACTCACAGGACACAGCATAGCAGGAATGAACCTCAGTCTACAAACTCAAATGTGTAACAAATAGAATTTTTTCTATAACTGAGCTTTATTTCTTTTTCAAGCCCTCCCACTGAGCTGTAGTGACAATAATCTTATCAACAGAGGCCCTCTCCCTTCCCCAGGGCGGTGTTAGGTGTTAATCAGGTTGGGGGATTTCTCAAGTGCCAAGATGAGAAGCAAGAGAAGTCAGGTCCGGGGTGCCTGGGTGGCTTAGTGGGTTAAGTGTCCGACTTTCGCTTAGGTCATGATCTCGTGGTTCGTGGGTTTGAGCCCCATGTCGGGCTCTGTGCTGACACCTAGCTCAGAGCCTGGGGCCTGTTTCAGTCTGTGACTCCCTCTCTCTCTGACCCTCCCCTGCTCATGCTGTCTCTCTCTCTCCTAGAAATAAATAAAACATTTAAAAAAAAAAAGAGAGAGAAAAATCAGGTCCTAGCATCACTGATCCCCACAGGGATGTGGAGATGTTCTTTGTCGACTGTGGCATTTGGTTTTTAGTTTTATGGCTTCGGTGCTGACAGGCCTGGCTGGAGGGTCAGGGAATGTCTGGGCTTCCTTGCTCTGTGATGCAGCAGAAATCTCTGCGAGGTGGCTCTTCTGCCTGGACATACTTGAAACACCACATCAGAACTTGTTAGAAATGCGAATTCTCCTCCACCCTGACTTCCTACATCAGAGACTCTGATTAAAGCACAGTCACCTGACCACAAGTTCTCTGAGGCTCCACTCTCCCAGGCTTTGCCCAGGATGGAGTGGGGACAGGCTTTTCCAAATAGTCCTTCCTTCCTTTGGAGTGTTAGAATCTCACTCTATTTCCTCAGCTCTGAATCTTGACGGGTTTTTTTTTCCCTGCCCCAGGGAACAGTCTCTCTAGAGATTTTTGATTCCAAGGCAACTGGAATTATCTTAATGGATTAGTTTTAAAGCAGAGAAGTACTTCTGGGAAATTAGGAAAAACGGAGAGAAAGAACAGATCTTACCTGCTGCAAAATGTTTTTGCTGAGAAAAAGCTTGAGGCTTTAGGTTAGGTGATTGGTTCAGCAAATCACAGGGAGAAAGAGCGCAGGAAGAACCTATAATCCCATTTTCAGACTCTTAAAACTCAATTTTTCCCCCACCAACACCACTATCCTGCCACTTGCCTCCTTCGTTGATGGTCAATAGGCTACAACAAATCTCCAGGTAGTGGCTACAGAGAAGGCGCCTTAGATACTCTAGCTCCAATCGCACCACATTGTGGGGTGGACTTACAATTCCTATTTTACACGTGAGGACACTGCAGGGGGAAGACATGAAATATCTGTCCTAGGTGAATGTTGAAGCCAGATTAGAATCCAAGTCCGAGCCACTTGAGAGCCTGCCTTTTGTCCAATTCTCTCAACTGCCTCATAATTATGGTCAAATACTTTCTAGAAACCAGCTACTAGTTCCTAAGTACCTGCTCCATGCCAACTGTGTTATAGAATCTGTACTCCTTTAATAATTCTTCACAAATCTTAGCACAGTATTTGTTTCTGATAGACTGAGGCTGAGAGACCTGAGTAACTCATCCAAAGTCTCATTTTGCAGCAGAACAAATTTGAACTAAGGTCTAGTTTTCAAGGCCAGGCTCCTTCCAAGACAACTGCTTTTGCCATTAAAATGATGTGCTTTTCGGCAAAAGAAATGGGGGATAATACCACCAGTTACACTAATTTCACTATTGTTAAGAAAACGTAGGGGTACCTGGGTGGCTCAGTCAGTTGAGCCTCCAAGTTTGGCTTAGGTCATGATCTCAGGTTCATGGGTTTGAGCCCTGCGTCAGGCTCTGTGCTGACAACTTGGAGCCTGAAGCCTGCTTCAGATTCTGTGTCTCCCTCTCTCTCTGCCCGTCCCCTGCTCATCCTCTCTCTCTCTCTCTCTCTGTTTCTCTAAAACAAGTAATTTTTTCAAAAAAGAAAATGTAATTCGATTTTGGTTATAAAATGCCATGATCCTAATACCATGAAGTTAATGCCCTGAATTCCAAATTAGAACATCCACATGCCTGCCTCAACTGGGTCTAAAACTCTGCTCTATTTTGGGCAAGTCATTTTAAATGTCTTTCATTCAGATCAGCTTCCTCATCACTAATATGAAAGGGCTGGACTATATTTTAAGTTTCTGCCCAGCTGTGAAATTCAATTTCTAGATGAAAGTATCACATACATAAATGATTAAGAAAAATTACAAAACATCTCTCACTTCATCTTATATTTTTAAGTTTTTTAATGCAATAATTTTCAATAAAATGATACATCATAGAGTATTTAGAATAAGCATTTAGAACACGCCTGTAAGTTTGTTTTAGATGTGCCTAATATTTTGGAATATGTATCTCTTCCACAAAAGATCAAAGTAGGAAAGATTTTTTGGTGAATTACCAAGGATTAGATCAGAACTGAACGTGCAACAATCTACTTAAGCCAGAACTGTTCCTTCATTGCAGTTACAAGTGCAGAGAAAACGTACTTGTCAGTGCTGCTACTTCCTCATTCTCTGATCTGGGGCGAATTACCCTGTCTGTTGCCTCACCTGAAAAATAAGCATTCTGGTAATATACACCTCATAGTGCTGTTCTGAGGGAGCAAGATTATCCATATAAAATCCAGTACCTCGCACATCGTAAATGTTAACAAATGTTTGCTATTGTCACTGGCAGTTTCGTTATTATTTTCACATGCGAGCAGGTTAGTTCGGAATATTATTTCGGGGAATATTTGAGCTCCTACGACCTGGGAGGCCAGGACAACTTCAGAGGCGACCACAGTTACACTTTGGGTACCGGACGTCGGGCTGCCTCGCCTCTTTCCCGCGAGACTGCCCAAGGATTCCCTTTGGCCTCTGCCATTGGACGTCACAGGAAGCGCGACCAATCGTGACCCGTTCTGGGAACTTCGTTTTCCCCTCTCTTCCTGCAAGGCGTCAAATGCCTATCGTTTCTCCTGCGGACCTCCCTTTCGCTTCTATCACCCCCAGATGTCTCCCCTCCGCATGATCTAACCCAATACGCAACAGGCCGCGAAGAGCCGAGCGGACGCGTGACGCACCAAGAATGACGTCAACGAGGCCACGTCCGTTGCGTCACTTCCGGGACGCTTCCTTCGCGGAGCCTTGTGGGTAGCCGGCCGGGGTCTCCTGGCGACGACGATGGCGGGGGATGTGGGTGGTCGCAGCTGCACGGATTCGGAGCTGCTGCTGCACCCGGAGCTGCTGTCCCAGGAGTTCCTTCTCCTCACCCTGGAGCAGGTCGGGCGCCCCGGAGCGGGTGGGCCTATTTGCGAGAGGGGTTCGGACTTGAGCCGGCCCCAAGTAATCCTCGGTGGCGGCGGACACACCCGCTTTTCCCGCCCGGTTTGTGTCAGTGTCCGCTCCACACGGACTGACCAACTGTCCCCACGCCCTGTTCGGGAAAGAAACGTCCTTAGACTACCGGGAATTTCTGGGCATTAGGACTTACCTTGTTTGGGTCTTTGATGGCTCCGACACAAGTCCTAGGCGACTCCCGTGCGGCCGTGTATGAGAAAGGGCCTGAGGAAGAAATGAAGGGTAGAAATCAGAGACGGTCGGGGCTTTGGAAAGCATCGGAGAAGTCGCCTCCATAGTCTCACCTCGTTTTTAAAGATGAAACGGAGTCTCAGAAAGGTGAAGTGACTTATTTAAGGTCGCACCATCGGTAAATGGTGCGGCTGGGAGGAGAATTCAGGACTCCTGGCTCTCAGTGCAGCATATCCTGTTTTCGAGCTAATGTGGTCTGAGAGTCAACAAAAGATAAGACAAAAGAAGCGATGAATTTAGTTTAAAGTAGTAGAGAATTACTGAAAGTTTCTATGTGATTTCAAGTAGCTTGTTGTGTTGTTTTCCTTGTGTTTTCTCCTCAGTACTCTTTCTCTAACTTCCTCAAGCGCCCCACAGATTTATTGACATCCGTTACCTTTCACCTGAAGTTTCAAACTTTTTAGGTATATCAGAATAACTCTAGGGCTTGTTAAAATACAGATTGCTGGCCTCCATCTCCAGAGTGTCTGATCCAGTAGTCCTGGGGTGTGGCCTGTAATTTGGCATTAACAAGTTCTTGCTGCTAGTTCCGGACGGCAGTTTGAGAATCACCACCCTGGAGCAATGCTTCCCAAACTGATGTGCCTATGAGTTCCCTAGGAATATTATTCAAGAGACTCTCCAGGGTTTTTCCATATCTCAGTGAACAGAAGGTGAAAATTGACAATAGAGGGTGGTCAGGTGTAAGAGAGAACAGTACTATTTGTGCTTTTAAATTTTGAAGAAAAGAGTTAAGTGGGATAAGTTTATCAGAGGACAAGATTGGGCTTGTTTTGCCAATTAAGCTGAGCACAGATGTTTCCAGGCTTTTCTGAATTGCAGTTGAGGAGTCTGTGATCTCATTACCATCTTCATTTTCCTTTCGAAATCCACACTCTATCTGTAGCTACTCCTTTTTTATGCTTTATGTTTTTCGTGATGTTGAGAGCAAATTGGAAAATGAGAGAGAATGAGGTAATATTGACAAAGTTGGTGGATAGTGACAGGAAGCTACTAAAGGACTGGTGAGGAGCACCTGGGGGGCTCAGTAGGGTAAGCTCCCACTTTGGCTCAGGTCATGATCTTGCTGTTCATGAGTTTGAGCCCCATGTCAGTCTCTGTGCTGACAGCTCAGAGCCTGGAGCCTGCTTCGGATTCTGTGTCTCCCCCTCTCTCTGGCCTTCCCCTGCTCATGCTCTCTCTCTCAAAAATAAATAAACATGAAAAAAAATTTAATAAAAACAAAGGACTGGTGGAAACTTGGAGGGCAGGCTGTAAGGATACACTGTTATCACGAGGGTCACAGGGCCATCTGAAATCTTGGTGGTTAACTTCAATTTAAGAAGCATTACTAGGGAGACATGGGAAATGATATACAGTCCACTACTTTGATCGTGATGGTAACACTCTGGGTAACCTTTTGACACCGTGGGGTAAATTGTCATCATTGTTGGAATTCTTTTGTCCCGTTTCCCCAGGCAGTCTCCCATTTTCCGTTTACTTCCTAGGTTAAGATGATGCTACCGGAAATGGTCTTTGTGCCTGCTATGCTGGCTGACCAGTTGTGGACTGCTGTCCTTGTCACACTGAACATATGACCATTGTCTTTAAGACGTGGCTGAACCCAGTATTTGCAGAGCTGAACCTCTCTGTAGTAGTACTCCTTGTAGTATATAGTACGGTGTAGCACTGCAGTGTACTCGAAGTCCCTGTAAGTCTGTGTGAGACTTAGATAACAATCTGACTTAACAAATTTTATAATTATATTAAATATATAATAATAAATTTAAATTATAAGTGTATTATATTGATTTCTATGGTTATAAGTTATATATAAAATTAAAAATACATTTTATAATTATAAATAACTTAGAAGTTATTACCAAATTTGATAATTATAACATTTGTTATTTAAGCACAAATGTTCTGCCCTGTTACATAGGTAGTAATTAAAACCAAGGATGTTATTTTGAAATTACTTTTGTTTCCTTTTCCACAGAAGAACATAGCTGTTGAAAATGACATAAGAATAAGCAAAGACAATCTTACTGATCTTTATGTTCAGCATGCAATTCCGTTGCCTCAGAGAGATTTGCCAAAGAACAGATGGGGGAAAATGATGGAAAAGAAAAGAGAGCAACATGAGGTGAAAAGTGAGACTAAAAGGTACTTTTCAGTGGTTCTGGTTTATATGACTTACCAGTTTTGCTTTTCTTCTTTTTCTCCAGGTGAACTTAGGTAAGAAAAATTCATTTGCTCAACTGTTTATTGAGCACCAGGCACTGTACTTAATAGCATGAATAAAACTGACAGCATTCCCTGCTCCCTTTTTAATTGGGAGAAACGTAATTTCGAAAGTGAAATAAAATACATGGTCCGTTATGTAGTGATAGTAGGTGTCATCATAGTGGTAGTACGCAGAAAAATGCAGCAGGGAGAGAGGTTACCATTTTAGGTAAAGTGGACAAGAACAGCCTCACTGAGAAAAGACATTTCCACGGAGAAACCTAGAAGGTAGAGAGCAGTCTAGCATTCCAGACCAAATACAAGAGTCCAGAGTGTGCCCATGATAAACCAAGAACAAGAAAGAGGCTATCAAGGCTGGTGTGGAGAGAATCTAGGGGAGAGTAAAGAGGTTTATTGGAGGTGAGTAGCGGAGATCGTTGGTTAGATCCTCTAAAGCTGTGTGAGTCCTTGTAGGAACTTTAGCTCTGCCCTGAGATGAGAAGCCACAGATTTTGAGCAGAATGACGACACCATATGATGTACATTTAAACAGCATCACTCTGGCTGCTCACTGAGAAGTAATGTAAGGTAGGGGGAGGGGAGTAGGGAAGCCAAAACAGGAATCTGTACTGTGATCCAGGCAATAGATGGTGGTGACTTTGAGTGAGCGAGTGAATTTGGTAAGAGGTGGTCGGAGTCTGGATTTATTTTGGAGTTAGAGCCAACAAGATTTGCCGAACTGTGAGAAAAAGGTAGAGTCAAGTTAAGACTTTAAGGTCTTTGAATAATGCAGAAATGAAGGAACTGTCCTATAGCTTCGGGGACACTGTTTACAATTTTTAAATTTCAGAAAATATTTCATAAAACCAGAAGCAAATGAATTTCCTTTTTTAAAGGAAGGCTACGTTTCTTTAACAGTGATAGTTTAATGAGGACAAGGCATCCTAACATCCCTGAGTGGGCTCGTTATTTCTCTTCCAGTGTCTGTTTTATCCCAAGTGGGTGCTACTGATTAATTACTGAGTTTATTTTTGGAGGTTTCTGTTTGTAAGGTACTGTCACAGGCAGTACACCAGTGATTGTGGGAGAAGATGGAATGAGGGGTGAGTGTGAGGGAAAATGCTGGTGGTGAGTTGAATACAGGTTTTAATCTGTAGTTACGAAGAAAAACTCATGATTGACAGGGAGATTACTCCTCCAAGTGTGAAAACAATTGAAGAATATAACATGTATGCTCTTAGTCTTTCAGAGAATAGGGTCTTTCTTTTGATCAGGAACACATTCAGTTCAGATCAAGGATCCTTTTAGCTTGATGGTTACATATTGGTATAGGCTCCTTATTAGAGTTAGCTTTTGTAAATCTGTGGATTACATCCCAAGAGGATGCTTATGCTTCTGGTCCCTGGACCACACTTCGAGATGTAAGACTAAAGCGGTCTTCCTAATAAATGGCCGCGCAGGTTCTTACATGTTCAATAAAAAGGTTGTTTTTTTTTTTTTCCTTTCCCCAAGAACAAACCTGTGTGTCACTTGAGGTGTAATGAATAATGGACAGATGAACGCTCTTATCATTTATCTTTGTGACTCAGAGTGGATATTTGGTTTTCAGAAGCTAAATATGAAGACTTGCCAAATTTTTAAATGAAAACTCTACAGATGTTATAGTTACAGGTTAGAAAATGCTTTGGCTTTAGAGAACTTTAATGAATAGAATGTTCTGTCTCATTGTAGACTGCTGCTGTGGTAGTCTTGCTATAGTCTCGATAGTTTATTCTTTCTAAATAGTAATTGATACATAGTCAAGATAATTCTATCAGTTAGATGGTGATTTTTAAAACTTAAATTTTTTTTTTTTAACACTAAGAATCTAGTTTTAAGTTCTAGGGTTAATTGGTTGGTTTATGTTTTCAAAAGATTTGTATCTTGTGTGTACATTAAAGTTAACTTATGTTTCTTGCCAATATTTTAAACTCTTAAGCCCTAGAAAATTATCATTTCATTTAGGGTGACCATAGAACATTTCATTCCCAGGAGTCCTACTTAAAATAAGATTAGTCTTAGCAATATGTTTTTTTGGTCATTGTTTTCGTTTTGAGCTCTCGAGAATGAATGGGTTTGCCATTCCAGTGATGTTTCCGTGAATACACCTCTGTGCTTGCAGGGGCGGCACTGTGGATGGGTTGAGGAAAAGACCCCTCATTGTGTTTGATGGAAGTTCAACAAGGACAAGCATCAAAGTGAAAAAGACAGAGAATGGAGATAATGATCGACTCAAGCCTCCCCCTCAGGCAAGCTTGACCAGTAATGTCTTTCGAAAATTATCAAATTCGTCTTCAAGTGTTTCACCCCTCACTTTGTCTTCCACTTTGCCTGTGAACAATACAACGGAACATAGTAATAATGACTCTAAGCAGAACCATGACTTAACTCATAGGAAAAGTCCTTTGGGTCCTTCAAAGTCCCCACCTTTGTCCCCTGTTGGAACTACTCCAGTGAAGTTAAAGCGAGCCGCTCCTAAAGAGGAAGCTGAAGCCCCGGTAAGTGTGCGGTGATGTCTGTACTACTGGGAGATGTGAATGAAGTCTTGGAGCGGTCGGCCTCGTAGCTGAGCCACAAGCAGATTTGAACTCTTAAGGGATGTCTTTACATGTCATCTCTTGTGTTTGAATCCTGAACTATAAAATCCATGATGATAAGTTAACAGTTTTTAAGGTACACTCCATTTGTTTCTGCTTAAAATGTGTAGAGTGTCTTGGGCACTTTTCCTAGCTTTTTCTCATTTCTAGATCCTTTATCTTAGAACTCAAAGAGGAAAATATTCCTTTGTTAGCAAAGCTTAGAATGTTAAACAATTTGTCCAGGGTCACATATTTATTAAGTAGCATTTTAGAGCTTGATCTTTAGTCTGTCTGTTTTCCATTTAACCTTAAATGACACTAGAGTGTTTAGGATTTTATCACTTAGCTCCCCATCTCAAATTTACCTATCCTTGGAGGGTAGAGGAAGTTGAGGGGAATCTACTGTGTTAACCATTTAAATGCTTGCATTTCATACACTGGCAAATTTGGTATAGATAGGCAATATATTTAGAGTTTACCTAGAATTTAAAGAGATTGTGTGTGTGTGTGTGTGTGTGTGTGTGTATATTTGATCCTTCCCTAGACTTGTCAGAATTTTATTTTACTTTTAAATATCCAGTTTTGTAGCTTTTACTTTTTGTCTTAGTCTATGTAGGCTGCTATAACAAAAAATAACATTGATTACACAACAGACATTTATTGTTTATAGTTCTGGAGGCTGGGAAGTCCAGAATTAAGGTGCTGACAGGTTCAGTGTCTGGTGATGGCTCACTTTCTGGTTCATAGCTGGTTGGTTTGCTGTGTTCTCACCTGGTGGGAGGGGCTAGTAAGCTCTCTGAGGTCTCTTATAAGGGCCCATTCATCAGAGCTCCTCCCTTGTTATTTAAGCACCTCCCAAAGGCCCTCCCTCCTCATTCCATCACCCTGGGGGTTAGGTTTCAACCTGGGACTTTCAAGGGAGCACAGGCGTTCAGTCTCTATGGTATTCCATTAGTATTGACTTTATTCTCCTCTTGGGATTGTGTGTCAGGAGGATCAAGACTCAGACTATTTTAAATATTCTAAAATAGTAGACCCTGAGAAAGAAAAGTCCTATGTGACCAGCCCATGTTCCTATGTTAGTTCATCCTTGCAGTGACTCTGTGACATGGCACAGTTCTTTTCTCGTCTCGCAGATGAGGAAATAGCAGCTCAGGTAATTTAAATAAATTTGTCCAGAGTGTCAGAGTTACTAAGTGGCCAGTCTGCAGTTTGCATTCAGGTCTGTCTCACCTCAGTGCATGCACCTCTGACACCGGGCTGCCTCTAGTCTGACTGACTTCAGTCACTTTTGTGGGCAGGAGGAGGAGGGTGTCAGAGAAGAGAGGGAAGAAGAGAAAAGGTAGGAGGAATAATTTAGACCTCAAATATTACAATAAAGAGTTAGCCTGAAGGATCTTTTCTTTCTGTCTGTTAAAAAAAGTATTTTAAAATTAAATTTATTATTTTTTTAAATATAGTTTATTGTCAAGTTGGTTTTCATACAACACCAGTGCTCATCCCCACAAGTGCCCTGCTCCATGCCCATCTCCCATTAAAAAGCATTTTTCTACTCGGAAAAGTTTTATTCTTTCAGGTGTTGTATTTATTTTTTTAATTTACGAGTGTTAAGATCTTGGATTGTGAGTTTGAGGAAGGCGATGGGGTAGGCCGGAAGGAAGCAGGTCTGGAACCCTGTTAGTGGTTTCCAATCCTGAATGCGCCTTAGAATCACCTGGAGGAGCTTCCAGAAAACCCAGACAGATATCAGAACTTCTGTCCTGCCACCTCCTGTGGATTCTGACTTAATGGGTTGTGGGATAAGGCCCAAGCCTGGGCACCTTTTTAAGTGCTGTGGGCCGTTCTCATCTGCCCACATTAGAACTATAGCTGGAAAAATGGGTCGCAGGGGGTTTGCTTTTTTCCCTAAGCTCCTAAAGTCTTTTCCCACCAGGTGGCAGCAGTGAGCTACCACACGTGGATTAGTAGTAGACTGGTGGTTTAGAGTGCTCATTTCAGGTTCATCTCTGACATTTCTGCAGGTGTATACTGATTTCTGCTCATGTCTTTTCAGAATAACCTGAAGCCCCCAGAAGCAAAGAGGAAGATACAACATGTTACGTGGCCGTGAAGGAAAGTTTCCAAAAATGTAAATATAACTGTAACTGTAGTTTTCCAAGCAAGTTCACATCTATTGACAGTATTTACAGAGATCCTGATTATTGTGGAATTTTCTGAAGAGGTTTCAAATTAGGTTTGAGAAAGTAGTCTTTCCTTTTCCCTTCCCCCATCCCTCCCTTCTTTTTTTTTTTTTTTTAATTTGCCTTTTCTCTGATTTAGAAGGAATTTCTTTTTAAACAAATGGCTTAGTGTAAGTCATTTATAGTGATCCTAGTCATTAGCTGTAAGTCTGGTATGAAGCATCTGATGAATTTTATGAATTATTCTCAGCCTGTTTTAGTCTTTGGGGAAATTTGAGATTTTATTTAAACTCAAATATTTTAGAAGTTCACAATTTTTATTTCTTTTCCCTCGCAAAAGAATTGAACAGTTTATCCCGGTATTTTAATAAATACTGCCAAACTCCTCCTCGAGGTTCACCAAGAAAAAGAGTATTTGTAGTGCTGCCAATAAATTCAGAACATACAGATGAAACTGCTGTTCTTCAAGTGCTTACATTGCTTTTTCCCAGAAAAACCAAAAGGTACATCAGTGCTTGCTGTTGCTCCTTCCCGTGCAGTCATAACGGAATCGGTCTGTTAGGCGCTGACTGGTCGTTCTCACAGCTGGTCCGCCCTTTCAGATGTCTGGGCTGTGCAGCAGCCCTGCCTACTGTTTTCGTGAGTGGTCCGTGCTCCCACTCTGAGCGCAAGGATCACTCCTGCCCAGGTGCTGCAGCTTTTCAAAAAGAAGCCGGCTATAAAACCTCAGGTGTGGTCGTGTTCAGGGTGGCGCCTGATGGCAGATGGTTTAGAGACTAGGAAGGAGGTGATGGAATCTGAGAACTTTAGAGAGTCCAGGAAGGGTAATGGTGAGCGGCAAGCTTAGTGTAATCTGGTAGGCAGGCGAGGAGAAGATACTGAAGCCTCAAGTCACCCCAGAATGACAGCATTGGAGCCGAGTACCAGCTGGACAGGGCTCCCCGCTGGGATGGCAGGGACAGCTCCGTAGGACAAACAGTTATCCACTGAGGTCGAGTGGTGTGACCAACCCATCAGTGGGAAAGTAGGGTATACCTTAGAGCCGTGAGTTCTCGCGTCCACATTTTTGCCTTGTATTTCTAACCAAGTGCAGAGGATACTTCATCCTTTAGGTGACAGATCTTCAAATGGGGGTTCGCCTCTACCTTTGACAGCAGTCTCCTTCCTCTTTTGATTTGTTAAAACAAGTATTTTAGTTCAGCTATTAAATAGCCTTACAAAAAATTCATTCAGCCTTGCAGGTACGTATGGTACTAAAACTTTAACCCTCCAGTTTTTAGCCATTCTGCCTTTATCCAGTCGATAAATCTATACATACAAGAGAGAATTGGTACGTATGATGTGTTGCATAAATAATTGACGTGATGGTGAATTGGTTAACTATAAAGGTATCTGCAGGGCTGATACGTGTAATATTGTTGAAGGACAACTGTAACCTTCTACATAACTGTAAAGGGAGATTTTAACAGTGCAGAAAATAGGGTAGAATGACAAATTAGATTTTATATCCAGTTGTCCCTTCTGCTTCCATCTGCATTTCTCTCGTAGTTAAGAGAGAGTTAGCCATTTGACAGTTTTAAGTCAGTGGAAACTTAGTTTTAGTTACTCAAAAAAAATTAATTTCTAATTTGTATATTTAACTTACAGAGTAGGTTGGTAACAACAGCTGAACTGTGTAACGTTGCTTCAAATTGAAGTTTATATTATGAACATTCAGAATCAATGCTCCTATAGCAGCATATTATTGAGCTATTTTGAGTTTGAAATGTGGAGAAGTGCGAAACCACGGACCATATATTACCTAATCCCGACGTCTCAAAGCGCGGTGCCTTCTCAAGGTGTTTACGTACAGCTGGCCTTCAAGTGTCTTCCTCCACGTAACGACGCCTACTGAATGATGGGAATCTGAGGCAGAAGTGTTGGGAATCTTAGGTTTTGAAGGGTTGCTTTTGTGTGTTTTAAAGCTTACAAGGACTTGATTTGAGTGGCAAACAGCTTTGGAATACTCTTGACTCACAAACATGGTACTATTGTTACTAATGATTTCCTGTTTCAACAGATCTAGCTTTTTTAAATTATTGCGGTAGGCAGACGAATGGCATTTGTGCCAGTGAGTGGCTTCCGAGGTGTAGTCACGGGCACTTTACCACTTCCTGCCACTGGCAGGGGATCTCGCTCTTTTCTTTCCCTACTTCTGTGTTCCCCGTTTCTTTTTTCATACTCTCCTTTCCCATATTTGAACTTCCTTTGCCTCCATTTTCCATCCTCCATTCTGCAGAGCCTAAGCGGCAGGCTTAGGTTTGCAGGTCATAGGGCTTGACCCCACACATTTCTTGAGGAGTGCAGAGAGGATGGACCCTGGCCCTCTTAGATTTGAGGGATCATAGACCGCCATGTGAATTCTGGAAATCTCAAGCCCCTGCAGCACCAAAGGCCCTAAATTGCTTCCCAGTGGCTGGCAAGGCAATACAGTTTACCAAAATAGCTTTATGAATCTAGACAGCTACCAGGCACTTTGGAAAGTAGGTTCAACTACCACTATGAGGCCATAATATTTTTGCTAGTATTAAAATTCCTCAGAATTATTATTTGAAATAATAGTTTGGTTGATTTAGTTTTGAGAGAGGATTCTAAAACTGGTCTAGAGACTCATTCAATAGCAATGATCTTTTGAAAACTTACATTAAGTAAAACTGCCAGTAGATTAAATCATACATGTGTAAGAGCTTCCTCTATTTACTACTGCAGAACTTCAGTAATTTTTAGAGGTTACAAAATGGTCAAAATGTTTTTAAGCGTGCTCTTTTATTAAATGCTTGTGCAGGTTTTGTAATTCAGTACAGAGAGTTTAACCTTGTAATGTACATTTTTGTATGTAAAGGTCTTTTAAGTAGCCATATCCTTATTTAAATAAACTGAATAAAATTATTGAGTAGGGCTGTCGTTCATAAAAAAATAAAGTGGAAAAACATTCTGTAATGACTTGGTCTCCTTTTATTTGAGCAGGCTATACCGAGGAAAAGTATCACTCTTTACAGTAAGACCTTCTGTACCAGTATTGACTGGGACCAGGCATGATGCCCATAGTCTGGCCATATCTTGGGGACCCTGCTGTGAAGTAGTGGTGGGCTAGAGTGGCTTGGTGTTCGGGAGAGCCTGATGCCACAGGGGCTGACATGCCGACTGCCATTGTGGATGCAAACAAGTCCCTCGGATGGATGGGAAGTTTATCCAGTGTAAGCTTTCCTAACAAACTGGAACAAACCAGAGGTTCAGGGGAAAGGTGGTGTTTGGGTCTTTAAAAAGTAAATCTCTAAACTGGTTATCTTAATGTCGGAAACCGAAGCTCTGCATTAACTGACTTGTAAACACCTCAAGGTACTTTATCTACCTTGAATTTTTAAAAACTGGTAATTTTTTAGAAGGGGACAGAAGAGACCTTTATTTTCATTTACGTTGTTTTTTACCAAAGTGCTGTTTACTGAAGCGCTCTGCTTTTCCAGTTGTTATCGAACCTGGTTGTCTATAGTATTGTGGCAGAAAAAATAAAGGAGCGTTAATTACATTCCTGCACAGTGAAATAATGGATCATCGTAATGGTGGAAAGAAAATCAACCCAGAAAATGAAATAGTGAGAGATGGGAATGTAGGGTGAAGAGCTGCTTTCTAAGTATACGGGTTAGGGGACGCCTGGGTGGCTCAGATGCTGAGATTAAAAAAAATTGTTTTTAAGTCTTTTGTAATTTTAAGGAAACTCCACCCAACATGAGGCTCCAACTCACGACTCCAAGATCGAGAGGCACATGCTCTACTAACTGAGCTGGCCAGGTGCCTGCCGAAAAGATGATTTTTAAGGGGACAGTTAGGGAAAGCTTTCAGGAAAAGCGTGGCACATGTGATACATTTTAAATGTCTACATATTCTTTGTTGCTTCTATCAGACATGGCGTCTGTTTCCTGCTGCTTGAATATAGAGCGGTCTTGTGATTTGCTTTCATCAGATGAATGCTCCTCTCACTGGGACCCCTTCTGCAGCCACCTGAAAAAGCCTGCTAGAGAAACATATGAGCAAACAGCATTCACTAACCACCAAGTGTGACCTAATCCCCCCACCCCGCTCCAGCTGCCAGGCGAGCACAGCCCCCCATGAACGTCCAAGGTGAGACCAGCCCAAATAGACTCCGAGTATCCTCAGCAAACAGAATAGGGGCTGCATTAAGCCACACTATGTGTCGGGGATGGTTTGCTACCTAGCATTAGAGAACAGTGGATAAGAACAGAGTGAAAGCAAGGGGGACTTAATAGGGTTTTAGAACCAAGAAAAGGGTTTTAGAATAGAAAGACTGCAGCTCCCATCAGTGAAAATAGCAGAAAGAGTAGAAGAAAATGAAGCCAAAGCAGCTAGGCAGGGGCTGGGTTCTGTGGGCCACGGTCAGGACTTTGGATTTGATTCTAAGAGCAGTTGGAAACCATTAACTGTGTTCAGACTTGACCAAGCATTTAGCCAGAAGGAAATGAGACTGGCTCAATAAAGTATGTAATGGCTCTAAACATCTTTTTCTCTGGTAAAATTATCCAAGTTTTTTCATTTTGTGTTTCAGTCAATTTGAACTAAAATATTTCTATTTCTTTGACTAATGATTAATTAAACCTGAAGAAACTAAAACGCCAATTGTGGTAAAAGGTATTTTTCGTAAATATAGAAACACCATATCTAGCCAAGCTTTCTGTCACATCTGTCCTGCCCTGCTATGGAATTTTTTAAATAAACTTAAAAAATAAACCTTTTATTTTAGGAACGTTTGAGACTTGTAGAAAAATTGCCAGGATAGTACAGAGAGTGCCCGTATACTGCACACCCAGTTTTCCCTATTACTGATGTATACTGGTATGGTTCGTTTGTGGACTTCCAGTCAATACCGGTACATTATTATTAGCTGAAGTCATAAAGTATGAGTTTATTCATACTTCCTTAATTTTTATCTAATGTTGCCTTTCTGTCCCAGAATCCCATCCAGGACACCACCTTCTATGTAGTATCCAATACCCTACATACACTATATTATATGTACACACAGACTCCTTAGAGTCTCCTTAGGCTCCCCTTGGCTGTGACCGTTTCTCAGACTCTCCTTAGATTTTTGATGACCTTGACTGTTTTTTTTTTGTCTTTATTTTGAGAGACAGAGACAGAGCAAGCGGGGAAGGGGCAGAGAGAGAGGGAGACAGAATCTGAAGCAGGCTCCAGGCTCTGAGCTACCACCACAGAGCCTGATGCAGAGCTCTAACCCAAGGACTGTGAGATCATGACCTGAGCTGAAGTCGGACACTTAACCAACTGAGCCACCCAGGCGCCCCATGACCTTGACTGTTTTGAAGCAAGCTGGTTTGATAGGTATGGATGTCTTTCCGTTCAAATTTGTCTTACGTTTTTCTCATGATTAGACTGGGGTTATGAATTTGGGAGGGAACATCACCGAGGGAGAGTTCCACTTTCATCACATGTTAAGAGTACATGCTGTCAACATGATTTAACTGTTTTTGCAGTTAGTCTTGGTCACCAGGCTTAGGTACTCTGTGTTGGGTTAATATAAACCTACTCTTTTTCCTCCTCTTCCTACTTTGTCTTTGGAAGGAAGACCTGAGTAGAGAATTATGTTCCACCTTTTGAGCCAAGTGTTCTACATAAATTACTTGTAATTATTCTGTGCAGATTTATCTATCCTATTTTTTTATTTAATAATTTATGTCAGGCTTGACTTAGAATCTTACAGCGTGGGTTATAAGCCAATGCTTTTTTTTTTTCCTCAAATTATTCCAGCTTTGGCCATTGGAAACTTTCAGTTGGCTCCTGTGTCCCTATCTTGACTCATCATTGTGGTTTCTTTTGAGCACTTCCTTTTCCTTACTTTCTAGCACTTCCAGATGCTCTAGGTTCATCTTATAAGCTTCCTGCCCCAGTCCTAAACTCAGCCATTTCTCCATGGAGTTGTGGTTCCTTTTATTGAGGAATAGTATTAGAAAGCAAGGTCTGGATGCTAAGAGTGGGGTGTTGTTGCTTCTAGATCTCAACTGACAGAGCAAGGAAATAGATGTGTGTGTATACTAACCCTGTATATACATGTACCTTCAACATCGCTATGCATAACTATCTCTGGTAAGTTAACGTGAGTTCATACTGATATCTCCAACTTGAATCCATTACCTGTGGAACATTCTAGACTTCCTTGCTTGTCTGTAATTTCCCACCCCAACAGTAAGAAACCCAGCTCCCACTGTCCACCGTCCATTTACTTCATTGTTCAATTCCCCTGTGCAAAACATTACCACTAGAGTACGGTGCTTATGTATAGTTCTGTTTGCCTTTATTCTTACAGATTCCTCGCATTTCTGGTGTCACTTAAGTCATTATCACTTACAAAGATAGGTTTGCAGTTTTTGTTTTTGTTTTTTAATATTTTTTATTTATTTCTAGGAGAGAGAGAGAGACAGCATGAGCAGGGGAGGGTCAGAGAGAGAGGGAGATACAGACTCTGAAATAGGCTCCAGGCTCTGAGCTGGCAGTCAGCACAGAGCCCAACACAGGGCTCGAACCCACGAACCGCAAGATCATGACCTAAGCGAAAGTCGGATGCTTAACCGACTAAGCCACCCAGGCGCCCCAGATAGGTTTGGAGTTTTACCATTGTACTGAAAAAGAGAATGTTACGTTAACTTTTCTCTATTAATCACAAACAAAATGAACTCCCTGGAAAAACGTATCATTCATTCAACAGGTGTTTGCTGTATTTTCACTCTTCATAAGGAGTTGGAATAAGACATTCCCCGCCCTCAAGAGGCTTTATCCTTTTATTAGTCCCAATTGTTTCAGTCTTAAGTATTCAAATAATTTGAGAAGGAAGAACATCTGAAGAATATTCAGTAGTTAAAGTCACAGTATTCTTCATTCTAGATAGTTTACTAGGTATGTTTTTAATTCTTTGAAACCTGAGGAAGCCAACCCAAAACAGAATGGATTTTTCTTTTAGAAGATCCCCTGGGGAAACTAATTAGTTAATTAATTTACATGACCTGTGTTTATTTGAGACAAATCAAAACAGGTAAGTGTTGGATTGGGTAGTAGAAGGCTCCACATGTGCAGGTGTGGCCTCTCATGGACAGGGGGCCCTGAGGAAGGGCATCTCCTGTCCCCTGGCCTCTCCACTGCCTCTCTGGTGGGGAGCAGAAAGTGTAGGGGGGGCAGAAGGAAGAGGGGCTCAGGTTTGGGTAGTTTTTTGATAGTTGACTTATATTTGTTTCAGGTGTAGTACATAGTGATTAGACAGTTATGCCTATTATAAGATGCTCACGTTAAGAATAGTCACCATACAGTGTTATTACACTATTAGTGACCATATTCCCTATGCTGTATTTTTCATCCCCATGACTTACTTATTTTATAACTGGAAGTTTATACCTCTTAATACCCTTCATGTATTTTCCCCATCTCCCCACACCCACCCTCTCTGGCAGCCACCCTTTTGTTCTCTGTATCTATGAGTCTGTTGCTGTTTTTTTGTTGCTGCCGTGTGTTCGTTTGTCTTGTTCCTGGATATTTTTTTATCCATATGCTTCTAACTGTAATTGCTGATAGATGTCTGGGGATGCAGTTACATTGCTCTTATTTTTGTAACAGGGTTTTATTTGTTATTCCCTCCCAGTTTCTTTGCCACTCTTAAAAAGCTCATTTTCTTAGTTTATGCACATTTTGTCATGTGTATTACCCGGATGTTTCCTCAGTGTTTCAGCAGAACTGCTGTGTATTCAGAGAGGGTATTTCCTCTGTAATCATCTCTTCATGTAAGAAAATAATCCGTGTTTTATTTTAGATATAGTACCTTCCCTGAAATTTATTAAGTCCAATTATGGGTTTTTCTAGTTCTTTTCCAGTGGATGTTATTCAGACTGTAAACACAATCTAATCCCACTTCCTGAT